TTGTTACTGTCCTAAATATTATTAAAAATGTAATATATGTGTTGATAGTTGTTGATTTTTCTGAAGACTGACTATTGGAAAGTTCATGACAATATATGTTGATTTTTTTGAAGATTGACTATTGGAAAGTTCATTGCAATTTGTTAAATGAAGTGAACTTCCTTGCTTGAAGAGACAGTGATTCTGGAAATGAATCCATTTTTCTCCACCACCACTGCCTTGTAATGTACGGATTTACAAAATTTGATACGGTGTTTAGATCACATCTTACTAAAATGATTTCTTACCAGAAACTTTATCACTCAGTTATTTTTCCAATCTTTTCTGTGGTATCCTCAGTTACTCTTGGTTTCAGTGATAAGAATTGGTAAGATAAATGGCTTTGCCCTGTTTTTTCGGTTTCATCCTGGGAGGCATTGAAAGAACATAGGACTTTTTTCCTAGGTTTGTTGTCCTATTTCTCGAATCCACAAACTTTAGGTTCTACATTTCTTGATTTGATTCCTAGCATTCATATTGGTAGCAATTTTATTATTGTCTGTCATATTTTCTGCATGACTTGTATTATGTAATTATGAAGAACTCAATGCTAATTTATTTATAATGCATTGTTTTCTCGAAGATCATCAACCGTGTTCTCTTTAGTTTTCTTATGAATGTTAGATTGGCTGTAGGTATCTGCATATTTTAAACATCTATTGAGCTCACTGCTTCTGGGGATTCTTTTGTTTTTTCAGCTCCTCTCAAGCACCCAAGCAGTTGGTGTTTTGATGAGAACCTATTTTTGCGATCACTTTACCAGGTAAAAATATTGTCACTAGTGTGCTCATTGACTTTTTGGTGGTTGATGTTTAATTTTTTATATAAGACACTAGTTCGTTATGTTGTTACTATTGAAAAGTTTGCTTTTCCTTGATAATACACAATTCTACAGCATCTGTTTAGCTTCTGAATGAGAGTCTACTGTATATATAACTATATGTTAAAATGTAGACGAAAATTTGTTTTCCAGCGTCAGGATTATTACGCTGCATGATTCTTAAGATCTTATGAATAGTCAAAATGTTTTTCTAACAGGTATTGGTTTCAGTATCAGAAAGAAGTTCCATCATTTTATACCTTAGGGATGTTGAGAAGCTGCTTCTTCAATCACAAAGGATGTACAACTTGCTCGATAAGTTGTTGAAGAAACTCTCAGGTAATGTGTTGATACTTGGTTCCCGGATGTTGGACCAAGAAGATGATTGCAAAGAAGCGGATGGAAGGCTCGCAATGTTATTCCCATACAACATTGAGATCAAACCACCAGAAGATGAGACTCATCTTGTCAGCTGGAAAGCCCAACTGGAAGAGGACATGAAGAAGATTCAGTTTCAAGATAACAAAAACCACATTGCTGAGGTGCTTGCTGCAAATGATATTGAATGCGATGATTTGAGTTCTATTTGCCATGCAGACACAATGGTTCTTAGCAATTATATTGAAGAAATCGTGGTATCAGCTATCTCATATCATCTGATGAATAATAAGGATCCGGAATACCGAAATGGAAAGCTTCTTATATCATCTAAGAGGTGATTTAATTATTTATTTTGTTATATCCTCTGGGAAGATAATAGACAACAATCTCTTAATTACAATTATTTCTTTGGAGCAGCTTGTCGCATGGATTGAGTATATTCCAAGAAGGTAAAAGTGACGGGAAAGATACACTAAAACTAGAGATTAATGCCGAAGCTGGCAAGGTTAGTTCTATGCCTGATATTGTATATGCACTATAGAAGGTTGGTGTTATTAACATACATATTTTGACATTTTTGGTCAATTTTAGGAAGCTGAAGGGGAAGAGCCTGATGGTGCAAAGAATGATAGTAAGACTGAAAAAGAGAAATCTGTTACTGGAGCGAAGGACAGCGAGAATCAACCTAAAGCCCCAGTAAGTCAAAATCCTTTATACTTTAGATAAGAGCTGTCAATATTATTTTGATTGTCTAACCGATAGATTCCCATTACCTCCTGCAGGAAGTTCCTCCTGACAATGAGTTTGAGAAACGAATCAGACCAGAGGTTATCCCTGCAAATGAGATTGGAGTAACATTTGCAGATATTGGTGCCTTGGATGAAACCAAAGAATCACTTCAGGAGCTTGTCATGCTGCCTCTTCGGAGGCCAGACCTCTTCAATGGTGGGCTTCTCAAGCCATGTAGAGGTATATTGCTATTTGGTCCACCTGGAACAGGAAAAACAATGCTGGCAAAAGCTATAGCCAAAGAAGCCGGAGCAAGTTTCATAAATGTCTCAATGTCCACCATTACTTCAAAATGGTTTGGTGAAGATGAGAAGAACGTTCGAGCTCTGTTCACACTTGCTGCAAAGGTTTCCCCGACTATCATATTTGTGGATGAGGTTGATAGCATGCTAGGGCAGCGGACTAGATTTGGTGAGCATGAGGCCATGCGAAAGATTAAGAATGAGTTTATGACTCACTGGGATGGACTGTTGACAAAACCTGGTGAGCGTATTCTTGTCCTTGCAGCGACCAACAGGCCATTTGACCTTGATGAAGCAATTATTAGGCGGTTTGAGCGCAGGTACGTTTTATTTCTTCTGATTCTTCTAATTGGTTTATTGACCAACATCATCAGCATCATTCGGCATGGCTGGTCCATGATAACAAGCAATTCATTGAAGTTTGTCATCATCTTTTCTGTACATTCCTCTTGAGTTGTTCTGTTCCCCGTATAGCCTTAAGCAACTCCTTTCCTTCACCTTCTGTCTTGACCTCTACAAGAAACCTTGTCAGATATCTTTAGCTTCCATTATGGCTTTTCAATCGAAAGCTTCAATATTTCCATGTAAAATATTTTCATGCTTCATATCATGTTTGCTAACTACAACGTGTTTTTTGTGTCGGGCAGAATTATGGTTGGTCTTCCATCTATTGAGAGCAGGGAAAGGATTTTGAAAACTCTCATGTCAAAAGAAAAAACAGAAGATCTAGACTTCAAGGAGCTTGCAACCATGACAGAAGGTTATACTGGAAGTGATCTTAAGGTTTGTTCTTTCTGTTTCTCTATTTTCCAGAAGATTTATAGCATTCATCAAACCAATTCATAATGGACTGATTAGCTCATGTTATTGATTGCTGTAAACAGAACCTGTGTGTCACAGCAGCATATCGACCAGTTAGAGAGCTTTTACAGCAGGAGCGAGTGAAGGATAAGGTAAGCCTTTTCTCCCATGTTACAGATGTATTTTTCATATTAAGTCCTTGCTGACACTTTTCCTCGTTTTCTGCTCCTTTAATCTCTCCATAGGAAAAGAAGCAGAAAGCTGAAGGCACAAGCTCAGAAGATGCTGCAGATACAAAGGAAGAAGGGAAAGAGGAAAGCATGATCATTCTAAGGCCGTTAAACATGGATGATATGAGACAGGCAAAGAATCAGGTGATCTTACATGAATTTCCTTTAAATTTGGATTGCATCTATCACCCTCAATCCATGAGCAAGTAGTCTTTTCAAATTCAAATTCTTCCTAGTCACCAGACTCTCATAATTTCTTCTTCTACTTATAGTCCATAACTTTAGATTTGAAATGCAAGTATCTGGCACTTTATTGGAGTTAAATTTTCTATGATTAGCATCATAACAGCATTATTTCCCAGATGAGAAACATCTCAACTACTAAAGTAGCCATGTTTTCTTTGTTATGTGTGAATGCAGTGTGATTCGAACCAATGACCATCTTGATAATTTGGTTCTACAGCATGAAAGTAAAAGAAATCTAGAATCTTATGTTTCTGTCTAGGGATGTTTCTAAATAATGTATCTGCAGGTTGCTTCAAGTTTCGCAACTGAGGGTGCAGTAATGAATGAGCTAAAGCAATGGAATGAGTTGTATGGCGAAGGGGGTTCAAGGAAGAAGCAACAGTTAACTTACTTCCTCTAGATTTTACAAAGCAGTCAGCTTGTCATTGGCAACGTTCTTTGTATGTCGGAGGTATGGCCTTCCCTTGCAACTGAAACATTTTTCTTACAAGCATGCAGCAGCGGGTGTCGAATGGAACGCAGAATGCCCGACACCAGATCCTCAGAGTGAAATGATGGAAATTACAGAGAAGTTAAAACGCGCACTTCCAAGTTTCTGTCAGAAAAATGTGTAGATGAAGCGAAAGAGGGGGTTCTCACTTGTCTGTATTTTTTACATCTTCTACAAGCAATTGCCACTGCATTTTTAGTATTGTAATTATGTGACTGTGTGGTGCTTGGAAATGCACAAGGGTTTGTGGAATTTGAGAGGAATCTGTATTGGGTTTTTCAAGATAGTCTGTAGTTTACGAACAAATATTAAGGGTAGCATTTGTACATCAGTCTTCGTGAAAAGTAGTAATACTCCTCCTTACTCTTGTGGTATGATTCTTTTTCTTTCTTTATAGCTCTATTGTTGAAGATTATAGCTGAACATTCAGAAGTCAATTTAACCAGAAAAGAAAAATGCGAGATTGAGCTCAATCTGCTACACATTTAGGGCAGCTGGTACCAATGTGATGAAACGTGCCATGAAAGTGTACTGAGAGCAGTAAGAGTAGAACAACAAAAGATTGATTGCCAGGTCTAGCTCATCTTCTTCTATCTGGATTATTAATTTGGCATAGCATATAGATTAAATATTTTCTTTTTAATTAGAATTTAAAGAGGAAAGCACATGCACCTTTTGATTAGAAAGAAAAAGAACATTTTATATCATCAACTCCTTCAGAATTGTTCTTTTGATTTTATTTCAAATCATTATGCTGGTTGCATTTTTTTATTATTCAACGAACTATATTGTTAATAAAACACCATTTTCTGTCAAATTATATATGTGTGTGTGTGTGTTTCAAGAAATTCTCATTGCAATGCGGCCAACTATACTAGTGACCCTTTAAAGCCCACAAGCATTAACTTGAGCACAGTGATGCTAAAGGCAGGAGATCGATCGATATAAGAACAAGACGGAAATTTTCCTGGAAACCAATAGCTTATTATTATAAAAGTGAGCGAATCTACATAACTCGGAGTTTACCGAATACGATATTAGTTAAATTTGGGAGCACCTAAACACCCCCCCATAAACATAAAGCAGAGGCAGGGCTTGTAAAATACTCAAGTCACAACAAGAGCAGATTAATCAAACAGAACTGCTGAGAGTCAAAATTCAACCTAGTGAACACTAGAACTGGTTTCTCTCTCTCCATCTCTCTAATCCTTCTTCTTCTCCTTGAATGGTCCTCTTGGAATTTTGCTTAAATACTTTTCATCCAACAACGCATACTGCTTCTTGATCTGAATCCATGATTTTTCAGAACATCCATCGACCTGGTCCTCATACTTCTCATACAACACTGGTACGGTGTGCAGCAAAACAAAGGCTGTTTCAAAGAAGAAACAAAAATCAGAGTCTGATAAAAACCAATCTTGCATCTTAGTAGAAGTAATGAACATCTGAATTCCTTACATATGTAGAGTAAGGTCAGGAAGTTACAGCAACTTCCAACAAGCGACAGAACCAACAAGCCGGCTATTACCTGACAGCGAAATGAGCAGCAACAACTCATAATTAGTTCTATAAAGTATAAATCCAACATAACTTGACATGTATTAGGACGACTTACGCAGCTTTAATCCATTAACATGCCTAAAAAATGGAATTCAGAGTGGTTTTTTTTTTTTTTAAGTAGAAGTGTCTGATGAAGTAAGCATTAATCACCAAGGATGTGTAGAATACAGCTCCAAATATGATATTTCCCATCATAAGATCAAATGCTATATCAATGATAGGAAAAGATCACTTACAGCAAGAAACTTCTTCAAATCTCTCCCAGAAGCAATATCATGCAGGACAGCAACTCCTCGGTTGATTTCAATTCTCAACCCAGATGCAACTTCACGAACACATTTTTCAGGAAGTAAGACTTCGGGGATTTTAGGTGGGGATCTAGTACAGAGGAAATTGAAGCCAACACTATTAGAAAGAATATACATCACCAAAGCTGAAGCCAACACCGTTAGAAAGAATATACATTTACCAAAGCTTAAGGGATGTAAAGAATATCTAACGATCCTTACTTGTTTAAGAAGTTGGATGCATTGGACCACAGGAAAAGAACAGCCAGAGAGAATATCGATAAATAGCAAACTAAAGTTATTAAGTGATATTCAAGCAATTCAAAAAAAACCCAGACAGCAGTTGCACCACCAAGCACACCAGCAGAGATTTTCTTGTTCCTCCATAGGAAAACATCAGCAGCTGCAAAAAACAAAACCAAAATCATTAAGGAAAGACAATCAATTTCGAGAGCACGAAATCAAGCGATCAATCTATAGTAGAAATGTGAAAACTTGCTTTTCCAAGTCCGTCTAGCAAAAACAAAAGCAGCCCAAATTTGCTTTCCTACTCTCCGATACATTGCTCAATCCTATAATTGTGGAAATGCGAAAACTTGCTTTCCAAGTCCTATCTAACAAAAACAAATGCAACCCAAAATTGCTTCCCTACTCACCAATACAATGTTCAATCCTACAACAGTGGAAATGCATAAATTTGCCCGTCTCATTTAGACAAATAAAGGGAATGTTTCTATGCGTGTGTTTAGAAAAACAAAAATGAAAGAATCGAGTGATCTAACGCTAGCTAGCAAGCATCGTCAAGCAAAAAACCGCTCTTCACTTATAAATCTCTTGTCAAATCATTCTCTTCATAAGAAATTCCAAATTCGAAACAACAAAAAAGGATTTTAACATCATTTCTTTTCTTTTAACACGCCATGGTTTCAGAAACCAAATCCCTCATTTAATACCAATTTCTACACCAAGCAACAGTTTTCAAGTTTCTGTAACAACATCAAATAAAAAAGAAGTATAAAAAAAAAGATCTAGCTTCGAATCAAAGAAATAAAAACAAGATATTTAATAAATCAGAGAGAGATGTTAGTTAGTGTGTGTTTACGTTTTCCACCGCCTAAGACTTTGTGGACGGGTTTCTCTCTACCAAAAAGCCGAAAGATTTTCGACTTCACAGCATCCAACTTGTCATCATCGGAATCTGATGAAGAAGATGATGAATGATGATCGTGGATCTTCTCTGTTATCTTATCCACCATTGATTCAACCACTGGTTCACGCTCACGCTCGCCTTCATGCTCCGCCATTGATGGATCTCTCAGAACGATAGAGTAGTATTTTCGATGTAATTATATACTGTTTTCCAAGTTTTTTTAGTGTGAGTTTTGGAGGGAGAGATGGGATCTGGGCCGTTGAGAGGTGTGGGAAGTCCGAGGCTGAGGTTTGGCGAACGAGCCTACTGCTTGATAAGGGAAATAACGGAAACCGAGGGAGAAATGTGGCAGGTGACTTTGGGAATGGTGATAGGGGGGAAGCTACTGTTACATGAGGAAGTGCTGTGGCTGTTATTTCTATATTTGATGTAATTAATTTCTTTAGTTTTTTTAGTTGTTTATTAATTGCTTCATTGTTTGGGATTTTTGTAAAATAATATAAATTATATTTTAAAATTTTATCAAATTATTTAACTAATTGAATTGAAATAATTATTTTATATGATATTAAAATTATATCAAACAAGTAATCATGAATTTAAATTTTATCATTTTTAATATAATCTTGTATGAATTTCAAATTTATAGTAAAAATTATGCTAAAACTGATAATAATAAATAAAATATTAATACTAACATTAGATATAATTTTAAATATCTAACATCTCGACATTCATCTAAAATATAGAACCTAGGTTTTATCTCCCAAAACAATAATGCAAGAAAAAATATATATTTAATATAAGATTTGAATATATTTTATAAAAATATATATGGTTTATTTATCTCTCAACATTCATCTTCAAAACATGATATGAAATGTTTTTGTTTCTTTTGTTTATATATTATTATTCTAAAAGATATATATAATTTTGAAGAAATTGAAATATAAATACATAAAGTACGGATGCAAGTAGGGGGAAAAAGTTAATTCTATAATTTTATATAGTTACCTTGGTTTAAATTAATTGTGCAAATGGGCCCAATTGGGCTGTGATGCCGTCACCTAATCCCTCCTCGCATTTCGCACAGCTCGAGACTTAACGGCGTGTAAGAGCTGACGGCGCTTGCTTGTTTTCTTTTTCTTCCAGCTATTTTGGTGGAGTGATGATGAGGTGGCATTATTTAAGTGCTGGAAAGTTGTTGAGACAACCAAGTAGGGATGCTCTGGTAATCTTGCATGCTGAGGCGACACGTGAAGCATTTTGAGCCCATCCTTTAAGAGGAGGAATATCTATGCTGCTGGCCGACAACAATGGAGAAATTTTCTGCCAGGTGTCAACAAAGGATAATGAGATATTTTTTAGCACTAGAATCATAGGTCTCAGAAAAAAAACCTGAGTTACCTGGTCACGGGTCTATCTAGAGATCACCCCATCAATTATTTATAGGTTATTATTAGTCATTTAATTTTAAAGAAAAATACTAGTTATATAGGTTGTCTTAATATATTTTTTAATATAAAAAATTTAATGTATAAATAAAAAAGTTTTTGTAAGCATCCTATTAAATAAATTAATAATATATATATATATATAAATTCCACCACACAAAATAAAATATTTACAATTGTATTTATTGGATTTATTTATTAAAATCAATAAAAAATAAATTTAAAAAACTAATAACTTAAAAGATATAAATAAACTCATGCAAAAAATATTAATATTATTTAAAAATAAATAATATAAATAAACTCATGCAAAAAAATATTAATATTATTTAAAAATAAATATTTTTTATTTTAAAAATAAACTTTATTTGTGTAAAACTCAAAAACAAATTATAAATAAATTATCATAACACCTTGAAAAAAAAACATTTAAAAATAAACAATATTTAAAAAAAATGCAAAGCGATAAATTTATATGAAATCAAATTTCTAAAAAAATAAATATTTAAAAATATAATAAAAAATCTATTATACAAAATAATAATAAAAAATATAAAAAAAACATGAATTAAAATTTGATATACATTCCATAAAAGATTGTAATTTTTCTTTCTAGAAAAAAATGGGCTGCACAGACTATTTTAAAATATTTTTTTATATAATATAAATTTTAAGTATAAAATAAAAAATTTATCCAAACATCTAAAAAACTTATTAATAATAACTAAAAAAATAAAAATAAAAATAAAAATAAAAATAGATATAAATCAAAATATTTAATTTTTTAAATTGAGACATTTACAATAACTTAATAATTAAAACAAATTTAATTTTTTTGTTTTAAAAAAAAACTTTTATACCATGCAAAAATGACTTAATAATTAAATCAAGAAATTCTTCTCTACAATGCTCCAACAGAATTACAAAATTGTTTTGGTTTAAACACGATTTGACAAGATTTTAAAGCCCTTTTCTTTAATTTTACCTCATTCCTAAAAAAAAACAATTAAAATTATTTTAAAAAGCTAGAGCCATGTCTGATATATCTGTTGAGTATGATGATAAGCTATTACGATTTTCAGATTCCCATATACTGATCATCTCTATAACTAGATTAGAACCTATAATTTAACGAGCAATAAGTGCTTCGTAAAACATATAAAATTGAGATTAATTAATTAATTAATTTTATTATTGTTATTGTTATTTAACAGTAGAATCCATCAAAAGGCCAGCGGCCTAAAAAGGATATGAGGCCCAAATACAAACAGCTCAATGCTCTAAGCAAATGGGCAAAGCAGACAGACCCAAAAGTAAAACCTGAGAATTTATTTCAGGCCAGGAAACTTTGCTTGAAATGAACCTCAAACAGGTGAAGCAAAATGAACGGCGAGCCGACATTATAACAAACGGATAAATAAAAGAACTGCCAGATTAGAATTACATCTAAATTAGATTAATGGTATTTAAAAGTGTAATAGTAGTTATGATTTAAAATATTTTTTATTTAAAAATATATTAAAATATTATTTTTTTATCTTTTAAAAATTATTTTAAAAAACACAATTTATATTGTATTTTTAAATAATATAAAAGGTTGATGATATAACAAAAATAAATAAATAAATAAATGAACTACCAGATCAGAATCATACCAAAATTAGTAACAATTTTTTTAGCAACTTAAACTTCCATTCTACCATCTCGATTAATTAATCATAATGTTCTAGGGATTTCTAAGCATGCAAGAATTAAAGATCATGAGATCGTTTCGTTGTTGAGAGAGAGGAGCAGAGAGTACACTGAGAAAAGCTATATGATCAATCAAGAGATTGGATCATACACAAACAAGAATATATCCATCCAAATGAATCAGTTTTTGCAGCAAGGGTATCAAATGGGGTCAAGATCATGAAATTACCTGTGTTTTCCTTCTTCTTCTTTTTTTATCGAGAGGAGAATGCTGATTCAGATGCTGGGATTTCTAAGCATGCAAGAATTAAAGATCATGAGATCGTTTCGTTGTTGAGAGAGAGGAGCAGAGAGTACACTGAGAAAAGCTATATGATCAATCAAGAGATTGGATCATACACAAACAAGAATATATCCATCCAAATGAATCAGTTTTTGCAGCAAGGGTATCAAATGGGGTCAAGATCATGAAATTACCTGTGTTTTCCTTCTTCTTCTTTTTTTATCGAGAGGAGAATGCTGATTCAGACGCTGGGATTTCTAAGCATGAAAGAATTAAAGATTGAGGAACCATATCATGAGATTGTTTCATTGTTGAGGGAGAGGAGCAGAGAGTACACAGAGAAAAGCTGTATGATCAATCAAGAGATTGGATCTTACACTAACAAGAGTATATCCATCCAAATGAATCAATTTTCCAGCAAAAGTATCAAATAGGGTCAAGATCATGAAATTACCTGTGTTTTTCTTATTTTTTATCGACAGGAGAATGCTGGGATTCTTGAAGCTTGAAAGGTTAGCTTACACTTGCTTTGATATTTTTTTTTTCCCTCCATCCTTGAACAACCAGGGAAGGCATGATGCCACGCACCTGTAAATTCGAATGGTATATGCTTTGGTTGTTGTTGGAATGATAGGGTATCCTTAGAATATGCTTCTATACGGGTGCCTCCATTGCAGCTGAGTTGTCATTTATTCTTGGCCATTTTCTGTCCTGTATAACGTTGTTATAAAATTATACTTTCCAAAAAAAAAAATAGTCATAAGCTACAAATTTAGAGGATGTTTGGACCAATAATAATAAAAATTGCTTTTAAAATATTTTTTATTTGAAAATAAATAAATATAATGTCAACAAGATCAAAGATTTTAACGTTGATGTATTCACTCATTCCTCCATATTAATGGTACATCAACTCGTTCCTCCATATTAATGGGAGCATGTATGAGACTTTTTTTAAGGATTTGGTATTATCACTGGTTTGTTTGGAGATTTGGATAAAAAATCTAATTGAATTCAAATCATAAAAATCAATTGAATTGAATTATTAATTTTAAAAAATTCAAATTAATTCAATGAACTTTTAATTGTATTTTTTTTTTACAAAATCATATCTGATTTAGTGTTTTTATTTTTAAATTAGTTTAGTTTAGCTGAGTGTTTGGTTTCTCAATTTAATAAAAATTAAATCCCTTGGTCTATAGGGATAGATTGATATTTTCACAGGATTCATTGGTCATTCTATAATTATTAAAGAGTATTTTTGTCTTTTCATGAAATTTTTACACATTGAATTTACTTTAGTACTATTAAAAACAAAATTAAACTTAACTATGGCTAACTTTTTTAAAACAGTATAATGACTCTACCACCATTAAAATTTTAATGGAAAAATCTCAAAGTATCTTTGGAGGGGAGAATTCATCATTTTATAATGATTTTTTAACGATAATTATTTGGTTTTAGGGATGATATGGTCTTTTGATATATTTTAACATTTTATATTTTTATGAGTGATGCATATATAATGATTATGCCTCATTTGGCGACGATTCAATTTTTCCTCCCTTCATTTCTCTCTCATCTACCTCAATTTGTGTATTATCCATGAAAAAATTTATAGTAGCTCTTAAACTTCATTTCTCTTCAAATTTAGTTTTTTTATTTGGAAAAATCACTTCAAATTGAATTTTTATTTTATTTTATCCTTCTTAAGTTTTTTATCTCTCAAATTTAATTACCATTCATTTGATATTTTTTTTGTTTGAGATGACTTATGAATTTTATATGTTTCTTACTATTCCATTCTTATTTTTTTATGCTTGGTTGAAGTTTTTTTTATTTTTATTTTTTATTTTTTTTATTTAAAATTAAATTAATTGAGAATTGAGTTTTCAGTCCAAATTTAAGATTTCATGAGTTATAATTTTTAAAAATTAACCATGATTTAGAAAACTTTTCTAAATTTGCTTGGTTTTTCATGTTATTATATTAATATTGTTTTATATATATATTATTAAATTAATCAAACTTATTGAATGATCTAAGTCTCTAATTGTTTTGATTTATTTGAAAATTATGGCGTTGCCTTAACTTTTTTATTTAGGTTGAAAGATTTGTGCCGCCCAAAGGTAATGCGGTGATCACTAATATAGATTTACTGACATCATTTTTTTAAAATCTTTTTTTAAATGGTTTTTTTTTTCACTCCTAGCCTTTAATTTTTGGTTCGTTCTATTTGAAATTTCTATTTTGTTTTGCTTTGAATTCTATGGTTTTATCACTATATCATACCCGCGTACAAACAAAATGGAAAACCAAAAGATTGGGCCTTAGAAGGTTTGATTGTCATTCCACGTACAAACAAAATGGACTATAACCTCTTCGGTCTGCACTGTATTACAGCAGATTCTTGCTTATTGAGGAGGCCCATTTCGTTTCCCCAGCAGTTGATGTCTATAAACTCGATCTCTATATTTTTATCTGAAGGAATTGCTTATTATTGTGTGTGTGTGGTAATCTTTACTTTTTAATTTAAAACATTTTTTATTTGAAAATAAATAAATATAATGTCAACAAGATCAAAGATTTTGACGTTAATGTATTCACTCGTTCCTCCATATTAATGGAAGCATGGATGAGACTTTTTTTAAGGATTTGTTATGATCATTGGTTTGTTTGGAGGTTTGGATAAAAAATCTAATTGAATTTAAATTATAAAATTTAATTTAATTGAATTATTAATTTAAAAAAATTTAAATTAATTCAGTGAACTTTTAATTGTACAAAATCAGATCTGATTGAGTGTTTTTTTTTTTAAAAAAAAATTAATTTAGTTTAGTTTAGTTTTTGGTTTCTCAAATTAATAAAAACTAAACCCCATTTAAAGCAAAATTAAACTTAAGCACGGCTAACTTTTTAAAAACAGTATAGTGTAATGACTCTACCACCATTAAAATAAAAATTCTCAAAATATGTTTACAAGGGCAAATTCATCCTTTCACTATGGTGTTTTAACAACAACCATCTGGTTATTGGGTTATACTATGTTTTGACAAATAAAAAAACAAAATATTATTGACACATGCATAACATATGTCAAAGCATCAACCAATTTGTCACCTTTCTAGTGGTATGTGTAGCTAACTCCGAGTGTTAAAAAAATTGTTCTGTCATATCATTTGATATGTCTCGATATTTTTTTATGAGTGATGCGTGTATAATGATTATGCCCAATTTGGCAACGATTCAATTTCCACCCTTCATTTCTTTCTTATCTACCTCGGTTTGCACATTGTTCGTGAAAAAATTCACAGTAGCCCTTAAACTTCATTTCTCTTCAGATTTAGTCCCTCTTTTATTTGTTTTATTTGGAAAAATCACTTCAAATTGATTTTTTTTTTAATTTTATTCTCAAGTTTTTCATCTCTCAAATTTAGTCACCATTTTTTTATAATTTTTTTTGTTTGAGATGACTTTTGAATTTTATTTGTTTCTTACTATTCCATCTTTATTTTTTTTTCATGCTTGGTCCAAGTTCTTTTTATTGTTTTTTTTTTTAATTTTATCATTCAAAATTAAATTAATTGAGAATTGAGTTTTTAGCTGAAGTTCGAGATTTCACGAGTTGTGATTTTTACTATAGTTTAGAAAACTTTTTCAAATTTACTTGATTTTTTATATTATTAGATTGATGTTGTTTTTTTATATATATTATTAGATTAACCAAACTTATTGAATCATCCGAGTCTCTAATTTTTTTGATTTATTTGAAAATTATGGCGTCACCTTAACTTTTTTTCATTTTTAGGTAGAAAGATTTGTGCGGCCTAAATTGTAATGCGGTGACCACTAATATAGGTTCACCGAAATCATTTTTTTAAATATTTTTTTTTTAACTCCTAACCTTTAATTTTTGGTTCGTTGTAATTGGAATTTCTATTTTGTTTTGCTATGAATTCTATGGTTTTATCACTGTATCATGCCCACGTACAAACAAAATGGAAAACCAAAGGATTGGGCCTTAGAAGGTTTGATTGTCATTCCACGTACAAACAAAATGGACTATAACCTCTTCGGTCTGCACTGTATTACAGCAGATTCTTGCTTATTGAGGAGGCCCATTTCGTTTCCCCAGCAGTTGATGTCTATAAACTCGATCTCTATATTTTTATCTGAAGGAATTGTTTATTATTGTGTGTGTGTGTGTGGTAATCTTTACTTTTTAATATATTTTTTAAATTATTTTTCATATAAAAAATAATTTTTAAAAAATATTATTTAAATATATTTTTAATTAAAAATACCTTTGGGAAGCACATATACAACATTACCAAAAACGCACGTGAAAAGAGAGAGGACCGGTTATTTCTTTTTAATTGAAAACGGAGGGTTTTTCCTTATGCATTTTTTTTTTCTTATTATCTACTGAAGCAAATAATTAAAAATATTATTACCGAATAATCCCTTCATGATTGGATATTAAGATGCATTTACAATTTTTAATTTTTTATGATCTCTCCTAAAATTTGTATGAAAAGCAAACGGAGAATAAACATCCTATTCTCGATAACATAATTTTTTTCACCTTATTTATCAAATTAAAAATAAATAAATAGAATTCCGATTATAAGAATTAGCTGACATCAGGTGATCAGTTGATGTCTATAAGCATTATTTGACCATCAACAATGAAATAGGAGTTCAATCAAGGTGATTATGTTAAAAAAAAAAAAACATTAATAATATTTATATATTTTTTATATTAAAATTAACTTTTAATTCAATTTAGTACAAATAAGTTAGCTAATAAAAATTCTAGTGCGTGTTTTTAATTTGAAAAATATCAAAATAATATTTATTTTTATTTTAAAAAAATTATTTTTATACCAGTAAATGATTTAAAATACTAAAAAAATTAATTTAAAATAAAAAAATCAAACTTTAACAAAAAAGAAGAAGTTAAAATCACAATCATAAACAGTAACTAAACGTGGGATGATGTTGTAGGCATGGTTCTGTCATAATTCGAATGCTTAATTTCTCCTTCCATGGAAAAACCAGTTGCAAACGATGATTCAAATTGAATTTCTGGAGAAAAGAATGATTGAAATTGAAAACTCCTTAATCAGGCGTCCCTTCAAGCTAAAACACAAAGGCCCCACTTTCACCAAAATTCTTCAGGGAATAATTTGACTAGCTCGCCATCGATTTGTGAATTCAAAAGTCAGAGAGACAGAGACCCGCATTCAACAACCAGAAGCATCAGTATAAGTACAAAAAGTCACAGTACGCTCTTGAGTGGAAGATGAATTTCAGATGAGAAACAGTATCATCCACCAGAGATGACAAGAAGAAAAAAAATGAAAACAATGATGGTGGGGAACGTACCTCTTCTCTGTAAAGACAAAGTTTGCACAAATGAAATCCCAAAGTTAAAAGATATTACCATGATTTAGGGTACAGAATCTTGCAAATTATAGGTGATGCTATCGGATAAAATGTGCAGAAGAACAAGCAACTATTCACCTGGCTAGGTCGAGCACAGTAGTTTTAACTTTTAAGGAATTCATCGTAAGTGATAAGAACAAAAATCTAGTGATGATGATTGATCTGTGTATAAATGTTGTTATTACGTGCATTCTTGGGTCTAAGAACATGGAGCCCTTTTCTCCATGAACGCGA